CCCACAGTCCTCGCCTCCTTCCCAGGGTCCTCCTCTCTCTTTCCTACGGTCCTCCCTTCCTTCCTAGGGTCTCTCTCTCTCTCCCACAGTCCCACCTTCCTTCCCAGGGTCTTCCTCTCTCTTTCCCACGGCCCTCGCCTCCTTCCCAGGGTCCTCCTCTCTCTTTCCCATGGTCCTCCCCTCCTTCCTAGGGTCTCCCTCTCTCCCACAGTCCTCCCTTCCTTCCCAGGGTCTTCTTCTCTCTTCCCCATGGTCCTCGCCTCCTTCCCAGGGTCCTCCTCTCTCTTTCCCATAGTCCTCGCCTCCTTCCCAGGGTCTTCCTCTTTTTCCCCACAGTCTTCACCTCCTTCCCAGAGTCCTCTTCTTTCTTTCCCAGATCCTCCTTTCTCTTTCCCATGGTCCTCTTCTCGCATTCCTTTCTCCTCCATCTTCACACCAAGCTTTTATCTGGAAAAACCCTCCTGCTACACGAGAATTTGGCTCAAATTCAAGGGCAGTCCTTGTCCAAAAATTGGGGGTTTTGTTTGGAAGGGCAAAAGAATTACACCCCCATTTATATCAGTACAACAGAGTCAATATGTGATAGCCCAGATATAATATTTTCCTACTCTTTTTTTTTTTTAATTTTTTTTTTCAACATTTATTTATTTTTGGGACAGAGAGAGACAGAGCATGAACAGGGGAGGGGCAGAGAGAGAGGGAAACACAGAATCGGAAACAGGCTCCAGGCTCTGAGCCATCAGCCCAGAGCCTGACGCGGGGCTCGAACTCCCGGACCGCGAGATCGTGACCTGGCTGAAGTCGGACGCCCAACCGACTGCGCCACCCAGGCGCCCCAATATTTTCCTACTCTTAAAATGGGAAAGAGCTGCTAGGTTCAACTGTAGTCCAAGAAAAAAAAGTCTGTACTCCTACAACTATTTACAAAAAGCAAGTTATTCAGTGTGTTACCAACAAAACTGTCCCCAGCCTCTGCACAACAAAAATAAAAGAACAAGGGGTGCCTGGGTGGCTCCCTCGGTTAAGTGTCCGACTTCAGCTCAGGTCATGATCACATGGTTCGTGGGTTTGAGCCCCACATTGGGCTCTGCGCTGACAGCCCAGAACCTGGAGCCTGCTTCGAATTCTGTGTCTCCCTCTCTCTCTGCCCCTCCCCTGCTCGTGCTCTGTCTCTGTCTCTCTGTCTCTGTCTCTCTCTCTCTCTCTCTCTCAAAAATAAACATTTAAAAAACTTAAAAAAAAAGAAAAAAATGAAATGTGAGCAAGATTACTCTGGGGCAAGATCCTAAGGAAAGACTGAAGTGGGTTCCTATTAGTTCTAGACTCGGGGCAGGGTACAGGTAGAGGGCCCAAGAGTTGGACACTGTTTTTCACGATCAATCCCTTTTCATAAAACCCTCCCATGTAGCTCTCAAGTCACTTTGAGGGGGATACCTGCTTCTCTGGGCCCAGCACCCCCACACTACCTGCTCCTCACAGCCATAGGTCTTGGGCATGGTCTGCTACCACTGAATTACAGGAGAAGCCCTGGGGATTTCTGCACACAACCCTTCCAGTAAGAACAATCCTGTCTTCTCCAGCGTTAGATAGGAAGTTTATGGCAGAAAAAATTTTTTGACCTACTTGGTATTTCCCACAGGGAACAGCCTCAAGGTGACGTCTCTCCCCGCCCCCCCCTTTTTTTTTACTCAATTCCAACCATTATTTAGAACTGTGCAGCATGTAATTTCTTAACACGAATGAGCTACATTTTTGTAATTACCCCCTAGATGACTTCTGCAAAGGGCATAATTTTTAAAACATTCCTGAAAAAGTAGATTTTATTCAATGCTTCATGGTCACTAAGGGGAAAGGAAAATACCACTCCTATCAAAAAAGCAATATGAATACAAAGGTGTAAAACAGCATAACTGGAATTCTACATTTAATTTGACTGCTACTTGACTTAAATAGTCAACACAAGAGGGGCCTGGGTGGCTCAGTTGGTTGAGTGTCCAACTATTGATTTCGGCTCAGGTCATGATCCCAGAGTTGTGGGATCAAGCCCTGCATGGGGCTCGACACTGTGTGTGGAACCTGCTTAAGATTCTCTTTCTCTCCCTCTGCCCTTCTCCCCGGCTCATGCTCTCTCTCTCTCTCTAAAATAAGTAAGTAAGTAAATAAATAAAAGTCAAAACTAGTTTCACCCCATGAGGTACCTCGGTAGCTCAGGTAGTTGAGTGCACAACTCTTGAGTTTGGCTCAGGTCATGATCCCAAACACATGGGATCGAGCCCCATATCAGGCTCTGCACTGTGTGGAGGCTACTTGAGAGTCTCTCTCTCTCTTTGTCTCTCTCTCTTTTTCTCTCCCCCCTCCTCTGCCTCTCCTCCCTGCTCTTCCTCTCTAATGTATATATAATATTATTATTTAATATTTATTTATAATTTTGTACATAATATATAATACAATATTAAATAGTATTTAATAATTAATATTTAATATATATTTAATCATAATTTTCCCTCCAGATGTGCCAAATGTCTCCAATTAATTCCCTCTGTGAAGCATCCCATTGACGTAAGTCATGGCAGGTGTGAGGAGCCTTGAAGGTTATTTTACTTTTTTTGAGTTTTTGTTTTAATTTTATTTTAGTTTAGTTTTAGATTTATTTTAGTTTTAATTTTAATTTCAGGTAATACAATGGAGTATTAGTTTCAGGTATGCAGTATGGCAATTCAGCACTTCAACAGATCACCCTGGGCTCACTGGGACAGATGTGCTCCTGAATCTCCACCTCCTAGTTAATCCAACCCCCCACCCCACCCCCACCCCCAGCTTTGAAGGTTTCTGTAAAGGAAAGCCTGGAGCTCACAAGGTCGAGGTGCACAAAACTGGACCACAGTGTTCACTGCTTTAAAAAAAAAAAAAAGGCAAAGATAGACCCACATAGGACGAATCACTGGCCTGGCCAGCTTCTCCATTCAGCACTAACCTTTGTGGATTCCCCAAGGGCACTCTGAGGGAGGAGCTTACCTCAGGAGGTCAAGGACAAGGGAAAAACCCTCTCAGCTTCTCTTTAAAGTTTCTACTTTGCCATACTTCATGGTAAGATCTTTCTGTAAGAAAGACCAAAGTCCACGCAAGAAAATAGAGATGCCCTCCAGGGAGAACAATAAAAGGAAATGAAGTCCAGTGGGGGTGGGGGGAAGGGAGGGAGTAAAAGTGGTCTGTTTTTCTGGGTCTGTGAAGTACTTCTTCACCCTCTATCTCTCTTTTACCCAAGTGATGACTCTTAAGCCAAAGGAAGCTAAGAGGTTTCTGATATATATATACATATATACATATATATATACACACACAACTCAATTTTAAAAAAACTAGTTTCATTTTGAATGGAATGGATAAGGGTTAAATTCCTTTAAAACATCAAAGTAAATGAACAAGTACATAAAACAATTTAACAAGCATTATATTTTTCCAGCATTTTCTAAGTGACACATCACTTTAAAAAGAACATTCTGGGCCTTAAGAAAGTGATTTCACAATGGCTATCTCTAGATACCTAGTGCAAAGCTATACATGCTCTTCTTGATAGCTCACAAGAGGTCAAACTGTCAACTCATCCCCGACGTGACCCCATGAAATTACCCAAGTGCCCCCACAGTTTTGGTCAGTAGAACCCACAGAGGAGACAGGAAAAGGGTTTCACATTGTACTCACTCTTACAAAGTTGTCAGGGAACAAACCTCTCCTGCCGTTGATCTGTCCCTCCCACCAGCCTCCATCCTCCTTCCTGATGTTGGTGATGATCTCACCCACGCTGATCGTCAGCTCATCGTCGTGCTGGGCCTGGTAGTCAAACTCCACTATGGCCTCCACTGAAAGGAACAGGGACAGAAAAAAGAACACCTTAGATCAGATCTTGGAGAAGTCTGAGGCCCACCAGCCCTGGAAGATCAGTAAAGTCTTATTAAAGGGACTTCCCCTCTACCAGTACTTAAAATAACAGGACCCCACACAGCAACCTGATTTTGGTTAACCTGAGGCCTGTCGCACAGAAACCACAAAGCGCAGGTCCGTGGTCAGGCACCGGCAGAGTGGCCTACAGTTCTCAGGGCCAGCAGGAGCTTCAGAGGGGAAACCACACAACGACAGAAGGCCAATCACATTCGCACTCCCGGAGGGAGTACAGCATCATTTCCCAAGTGCAAAGAAGGCAGATAACACACGCAGGTTTGGTCCTTAGGTGTTCCCAGCCTTGCAAAGACGAACTGTGTGAAGTTAACGTCCCTGGACCTCAGGCATGCAAAATGATAATAACTCCCACCCTAAAGAAATAATGCCCATCTCTCAGCCACAAGATGTACTAAGTCAGCTGACACTGAGGGCCCTGCTGGCCAAGCCAATGTCTCTGGCTGCTTAAGTCTGCAGGATAAATCTGGAAAGACCAGACACCCTCAGGACAACTACCCTGTCAACAGAGGGCTTCTCAGGCAGCAGCACCATTTTAAAGTGTTCCCCCAATCTGTGGTGATTTTTTACATTTGGTCATAGGTGGAGGCAACAGACGACACAGATGCGACTTGTTGATAAAGCACAGGTGCAAAGTAGCAGAGCTAAGCAATCCCGAGCATGTTAACTCGTCCATGGATAGATTATGCAACTCGTCTATGCCTTGGGTCTTGCCTCATAACCACCTCAACCAATAAACCTCTTGTCCTTTTCCTTCTATATTTGCAGCTCAGGATGAATGAATGAATGGCAAATGAATAAATACAAGGATACTGAAAATTTGCTGAAACCCCAGGTGGTGAATTAGCAACTTAGAAATTATGGAAATAGAAGAGGAAAAGTTTCAAATGAGCTCTGTAAGAAGCACAAAAGTGAACTCAAAATGGATCACAGATCTAAATCTAAGAGCCAGAAGTACCACACTTTCATAAGTAAGCACAGGATAAAACCTTAGCAATCTTGGGTTTGGCAAAGATTTCTTCAGTAGTCGACAAAAAAGCACAGATGACTGGAAACCTCAATACAATGGGGTAGGTTTCCAGGAAAAAGGTGGGTAGGTGAGTGGGCCCCCTGTCAATGGGCTTTGTGTCTCCATTAGGGATGAATTCCCAAAGTGCTTCCAGATCAGAAGACCCTGGCCAATTCACAAGCAACTCAAAGTGAAATTTCTTTGTCTGGATCATTATTTTCATTCCAAAATTAGCTGTCATGAATCTTCCCAGGATGAAGTTGAGTTGTAAACCCCCTTCTCATCACTTGTAAACAAAAAGGAAGAGCATCAGAGCCTGAACAAAGCAAATTTTTCCGATTTTTCCTGGTTCCTGACAAGTACAAAGGCAGAAACACTCCTATTTTCTTGCATCATGCTCTGCTCCCCAGCAGTTAAAATGAGCCATCATGACAATTGGAACCAGGTCAATTAAAAACCAACTTTCCTCAGGGGCACCTGGGTGGCCCAGTCGGTTGAGCGTCCGACTTCGGCTCAGGTCATGATCTCACAGTTCGTGGGTTCAAGCCCCACATCAGGCTCTGTGCTGACAGCTCAGAGCCTGGAGCCTGCTTCAGATTCTGTGTCTCCTTCTCTCTCTGACCCTCCCCCACTCACACTTTGTCTCACCTGTTTCTCAAAAATAAATACACGTAAAAAACAAATTTTTTTTAAACCAACTTTCTTCAAATGACCCAGACAGGGATCCACTAAAGCTCTGCAAATGGAACTGAGCCAGCAGTAACCAATGTTTCTGTGCCCAACATTTCTCCTGCATTATCTCATTTAATCCTCACAATATTATGATGCTCATCTTCCCAATTAAAGAACCTGAAGCTCAGCAAAGCAGTTAAGCTCATTTTTCTGAGCCAGTGCTCTCCAAAGTGGGATGCACTCACTTCAGGGATTAGTTGACATCATGAAAAAACAATCAGAAGAACAGCAATTCGTTTTATTTTAATTTTAAAAAGACAAAAATTCAACGTCCCTTATATTCCATTTGAAAAATGACACCGGTTCCTTCATCCAGCCTCTAGGTCAGGAAGCAGCCTGAGGCCAGCAGGGCCCCTCAACAAGGCTGCCTGCTAGAGCCAGAGCCGGCTTGTGGCTCCAGTGGGGGGAAGGTCTGCAGAGCTGGGCAGCCTCCTGATGAAGCCTCTTCATGGCTATGACCCCTCAATAAATGGATGAAAGGCTTAAAAAGAATTGTGTGAAGAAATCAGGGGTTGTAGACAATAGTCAACATGGGAGCAAGGAAACAAGGAAATGTCACAGCTGCTGCCTTCGGCTCCTGGTGTGAGCTCTGGGCCAGCCATGTTGGGAGGTGAGCGTGAGGACAAGCCAACCAGATCTTCCAGGGACACGACTGAATTATCAGGACAATTGAGAATACAGGTTGTCTTCCACTGCTGATACGGGTGTAAATTACCTGGTTATAGTATGGAACTATTCAGATTGCAAGATATTTAAATGTACGTACCTGAATCATGAAGACAAAGGTCTTCATTTTCCACCAATGTCCAAATTCCTATAACACTCAATCTCATGTTTTCCCAGAGTCCACTAAACCTAATAATAAATGTTTAGAAGCTTCTTTGGGGTTTTCTCAATCAAGTAGTACAATAATACACGCATACAATCTGTAAATAAATATATACATGGAACCACTCGATTATTTTTTTTAATAATAGGTATTTTTTTTAACCAAGAAAAGGCCTGGAACACTGACCTGTGCTCCCCAAGGCTGACCCCATTAGTGCTTGCAGACAGAAGCTCATAGTTTGTCTGAGGGGAACAGAGATCAGAGTGAGTGGAAGGGGCGGGGGCGGGAAGCAGCACATGGGACCTGGCTGGGTCCATCTAGACACTGAACTTGAACCCTGTGTACTTTGGGGAAGTTAGAACCCCATCAACTTCCAGAACACGACCTTGCTGCTTCTTTCCTAAACAGCAATTCTCACTTTATTCTGTACACGGGCCTTACCAAAATGGCGCTGGAAGAGGACTCAGGAATTTGCTTCAAGATGGTTACTAGGAAGTAAACAGCTGCTGTCTGCTGTCACAAACTGACGAGAAACACATCCTGCTTTTGCTTCAGTCTCTCTGTTGTGATGAGCCCAAGGACACATCTTAATTGACGCTTACTGTAAGGCTGGGGGTTAGGAATTGGGGGCTTGGGGATAAATAAAGCTAACCGCAGGGGCGCCTGGGTGGCTCAGTCGGTTGCGCTTTTGAGCGTCTGACTGCAGCTCAGGTCATGATCCTGCAGTTTGTGAATTCGAGCCCCGTATCGGGCTTGCTGCTCTCAGCACATAGGCTGCTTTGGATTTTCTGTCTCCCTCTCTCTGTCCCTCCCCTGCTCGCACGCTCTCTCTCAAAAATAAATAAAACATTCAAAAAAATTTACAAAAAAAAAAAAAGCATAACTGCATGGCTTTTGAGTCTTCCCAATATCCTATCTGGTCTTTCCAGATTTAAACTTGTTTTAAGCTCCTAGACACTTCAGGCATCACATACACCCTGTCCGCCTTCAGCCCCAGCTGGGGGGCCTGACTGCCTCATACCACCTTTCTGGCTCCTCCAGCCCCTAGGCCTCCCTGGGCCCTGGCCTTAAGGCAGTTCCATGTGGTGGTGGCTGCACAGGTGTCTCATCCTCTCAGGGAGCCTCTAAATGCCTTCTGGGTCCAGATCACCCTTAGCTCTTAGTTCTGTTCTCTCTCCTATGAGCATCCATGACCTGTAGTAGGTGCTCAATAAAGCTGCGATACACCGACTGCCCAGCTTGCGTTTTATAATGGCAGGTAGTTCTCTGCCCAACAAAGATGCTACCAAAATGCCAAGTGTCAATCACATTTTTGCAAATCAAGTCAGATTCTTCAGTGCACTAACGGAGCTTGCTATTTAAAGAATCCTGTGGTTAATTCTTTTGTAACATGAATAATCACTTCCTGCTTTACTTTTCCTGTCAAGATGAATTTTACATATCAGGTTTCTCTAAGAGGAGGAAACCTATATATGATTTTCTTAAGCACTCATAAATCATGAGGCTATGTCTCTCCTATCCCCCTGAAAGGCTCTGTCCTGTGTCCTCTGTGAGCCATTGAAAGGTTCCGGACTTTGGCTGTCCACTACAGTCCATATCACTTGCCATATTTGGCTATCGAGTACCTGAAGTGTCACTGGTCCAAACTGAGATGTGCTGTAAAATACACAGCAGGTGGCAAAGACTTATTAGGAGAAAAAGAATGTAAAATATCTCATATTTAGATTGTACATTGAAATGATATTTTAGACATGCTGGGTTAAATAAGTATATTATTTCTTTTTACCTTGTTTCTTCTTGCCTTATGAACGTGGCTATTAGGACATTTAAAATTACACATGCAGCCTAGTATTATACTTCTGTTGGACAGAGATAATTTAGGATAATACTTGGCAGACAGGAAATCAAGACCTCACACTTCATAAACAGTCAAAATATTCACAAGAACCCATGAGAGAAAGTCTGCGTCCCCGAAACCCATTTCCTTGGCTTTAGGAAGCTGCAGGTAGGCTGCAGGAGCTATAAAACATTGCCTGAGATTTTTTTTAATGGTACCTTTTGGGAAACTACCTGTAGACATGAGCACAAAATTAAAACACTAAGCTAAATACAATATATCAGAGGTATAATTAGGGCAACAGTAAACAAAATCCCATATTGAAAGACACCATAAATTACAAAACTTAAGGAAGTCTCCCTGTCAGAAAAATACCACCCTTCAGTTGCCTGCTGTGCCAACAGCTGGCCTCCACACGTTTGCCGCATCTCCCGTCGCTGCAAAAGCCAAGGCTATGGTTAACCTGTGTGTACAAACGGATAGAGCCAGGGGAGAAAAG